ATCCAGATGGATAGTTTAGGGTTCATGTTTACAAGACAGCCTAGAAAGTAGCTATGGCTGTTCCTGCCTGTGCCTGTTTCAAAACTTACATGGTTGACTTGCTGCCATAGCCTTAATCGCTTCAATGAAAAGTGCTAATTATTAAACTGTTTTGAATCCTTAGCTCTATCTCTACTACATCCATCTTTTTGTCATATATTATAAGGGGTTTTACGTAAATAATAATGAAATATCAGTGAATCTCAAGTAGGGTGACCGTGCATCCTAACTTCCAACCAGGACATTTTTGAGAGAAAAAAACTTGCTATTAATTATTTCTCAAGTAAAACACATAAACCAGCACTGTCCATGAAATCTCAGCTTTATTTACTTCGTCTCTCTTCCTTTGTTCTTCCCTATGAAAGAAAAAAATTGTGAAAGGCTTTGAAATGAGATAGAAAGATGCCTGAGTATCTTCAGTGGAAAACCAGGTATTATATAAGCACATCTTTCTGGATTAGCTGATTCCATAGGGTTTCTGCAATTTCATTGTCTTTGAACAATTATATATCTCTGTTGTATGTATACAGATATATATATATCTGTACATATATACAGATCTGTTGTGTTTGTGTGTGTGTGTATGTGTGTGTGTGTGTATATCTGTTGTATATCTCTGTGAAATAACTAATAGCTGTGGAGATGATTCTTGTCTATAGAGATACAAATAAATTGTATCTAGTGGAAATGTAATTGATTTTTTCTCTCTCTCTCCAATAAGTCAATTTTGCTACTGTTTATTAATTCATTTCAGCATTATTTATAAACTATGTATGTGTACTACTTTGAATTCATCTTTGAACAGGTTGTAACTTCTGACTGGGTCCCCATTAATAAATGTACTGAAATCTTGTGACATGTACTTGGCATGCGTTGATACTTATAGGACTTACCCTGTAAAAAATTTCCTAATATCCAAAATTTATTTATAGTCTTCTTTTTTTTTTTAACCTTAGGACATCCAGGGACCAACACATTCTCCATTTCTCCATAAGAGTAGTCCCTCTGTGGCTAAAGAGATTGCACCTTCTGAAGTCATTCAAGCACACATTTTATACGTACTGCATGTTTCCTAGGTCCCAAGCGTTGACATGATGCTATATAGGGAAAAGACTGTAAAGAAGGAAGAGTGGAAGCAGGGAGACCATTCAGGAGTCTATTGTCCCAGTGGCAGATGAGGCAGTGCAAACTGGAATTAACATACTCTGACTATAAATAGATGAAACCATCAAGGAAGAGCAGACAGGATTTTATCAGTGGGGTGGGTACTGGGTAAAAGAAAAGCAAGAAGCCAAGCCCCCACTTTTGGGTATGACTAACAGAGTAGTTGGTGGTACCAATTTCTAGAGATTGGAAAGGCCAGTTAAGGATTGATCTGAAACACGCAATCCCCAGTTACTGAGCATGGCGACAACTGGTGGTAGCTTGCAGCTGAGTTCTTCCTGATGACTGACCTCAGCTGACCAAGGTCACACCCTCTTCTTTACCTAAGGACTAGGTGATAAGGGAATGAAGTATCACCTCATTGCCTCAATTTGATACAACTCTGCATGCTGTCCCAGCTCTGGGCAGCTCTCTGGGATAACCTGAAACTTTTGTTGTGATGGTAGCAGCAACTTCTCCCTCTGCCTAATCCTGCTGCCTGCACCCTGGAGCAATCTCCAATAAACTTCCTACCTGCAAATTTCAATTTCATAGGCTACTTTCTAGGAGCTCAACCTACAACAGGGAGCTGCTGTTAGAGTTGGGAGGCTTCCCACACATCTTTCACACTCCTGTAATCGGGTGTCTAAAATAGACGCTTGACACCAGATCCTTACTGATGATTCTCCCTCCCACCACATCCCCACCCCACCCAACCCCCCAAAAAAGAAAAAGTAAATTAATGGCTCTATTGTCCATGGCTAGTCTCTATCAAGACGTCTTGCATCATGGCTTCTATATTTTTGGCCTCTTCTTTTACTACCTTACCATAAATAACTTCCACCATAACTTACATTTTTAATTATAGCACGTATTCCCTATTTTATGGAAACTGTACATTTTCATAACTCTCTCCTTTAATAAAAGTTCCCGATAACTCTCCTTCTACCTAACCTTCTTCTCTTAGCGGTGAAACTACCTAATACCCCAAAACCTAGTTCAAAACCATACTCCAAAATCTATCAATTTTTTGTGAAATCCTCCCCCAAGTTTTCCAAAAGGACATGCCTCCTCTCTCTGTCCTCATAGCATTCTCTGTTTTTTTAATTATTTTTTTATTTTTATGCATCTGTTTGCCCAGTTATGCCATGAACTCCTTAGAGATGAAGACTGCCTAGCTGGCACAAAGCCAGGAGCATAGTAGGGTTAAGACCTACTTCTTGATCATCAGATGAGCCTTTGTTAAGCTATTCATTCTCTATCCTCGTGTTTCTAACAAAAATAGAGTGAATGTCCTATGTTCTACATTTGGTCTTTGGCCCTCAATTGGTTCATTTTTCCCAACTTCTGAACTGGGCAAAAGAAGGAAGGAATGAATGTGGAGAATTATCTCCTCCCCTTTATCCCCGAACCTGAAAGCCTAGGTCTACTAGCTCTGGGAAGCTCCAATAATTTCATTCCTTTTCCTGGCTCCACTCTGGTCTTTTCATTTCTCACAAAACCATACCTACTGCCGAACTCTGCCAGTTGAAATGGAGTTTTAAAGTCTAAACGTGTTGAAGAGATGTACTTGAGTCTTGACTTGCTTCACTCCTGCCCACCCTGCTATATCCCCAGGAGTATCTACCATTTCAGGTCCTATAATTGTATAATCCTCTCACTACAAATTTGGTGACACTCGTAACTAAGAACATGGTATCATCTTTCTCCGTGTCTTTTTTATCTCCTTTTCGTGTATAGAGGATCTTCTCTGCCTTGACCCTTTCGGGGACCTTGAGATACCGTCTTTGTATGTATCTTCCAAAGAAACCCAGAGTAAAAGTAGAAGAGCAAATATGTAGTCAACTCTGGGGTTCAAAAAATGCTTATTAATGGGAGGAAGAGAGAAAAGAAGAGAGGAATGAACGAAGAAAGGGAGAGAGGGAGGGAGGGAGGAAAAGAAACCATCCGATCCAGAGTTCTATTCTTGCTGCCTTTCAGGCCTGTAGAAGGTGCAAAAAGCTTCCTCTGCACAGAGAATAGGCTTGTTAAATAGGGAGCAATTTCAAAACTCTGAGGAAAATGTAAAGTAATGAATATAAGAAGTTGGACCTCCAGATACTCCTTCATATAGCTGTAATATCAAGTTATATTTTTTAAAATGACTCCAGGAAAAAATGTATTTTTTCTCAGGAAGATTTATTTTCAGATAAGTTTACTTCAGACTTTCTTAAAAATTCTGAATCCGTGAAAGGCTGATTTTTATGGTAGAATTATGTACTTCCTTTGCAAGCATGTGAGCTTTTTGAACATAAGGGCAAATGGAAAATGAGACCTCAGAATTTTCTTGCCCTTTAAAAACACACAATGTTTTCATGCCCTTTCGATGAAAAGTGTCAGTGGCATAAAAATTAAGGGAACAAAATACCTTAAAAAAAAGCTCATTCAAATTTAAGATTTACTACTTTGGATATGGTAATTTTGACACTGGCTAGGTTGATTTTTTTTTTCCATTGCTTATGATAAAGTATTTTGAAGCTATTAAAAAATACAAATAGGTATTCTGGGGAAGTAGTTCACTCTTCAAAAGCAGAAACTTCTAGAGTATTTTGTCAGCTCCTCTTTCCCGACAAACAGTATTATCATTATTTTCAAACTCATTCAATGAACCAGGTTAGATGAGAACTTCCACACTGTTGTGTCTGGCTCATTGAGATGCTGAGTGGCCTGACAGTGGAAAGAGCCCTGTAGGTGCTATCTTTGTCTCTTACTTTGGGTACATTAACCTCTTTCTGTTCTCCATGAGCTGCAGAAAAGCTGCTCTCTGAGAAGCTCGCTGTCTCCACCCTCGTAGGTCCCACTAGCTCTGAGAGGGGAGGAACTGGGCTTATTGATCTTTTATTAGCAGGGTTCACCATACAGTGAGCACTAAACATGTGAGCCACTACTGTGTAATTATTCCTCATAGACCTGCATTTTCTTTTGAAATATCAATTTCATTTTTCTGTTTTTCATTCCTGGGTCCTTCCCAGGAATGAAAGGAGACTGGTCTCCCCCAGTCACTCCAAATGTTCCCAGTGTAGAGCACAGCTCTGTTGGCCAGAGCATGGATCAATTGCTTATTGTGGTCAAACAAAGAACTTCATTCCTAGCAGGTGTGTGTCTATAAATAAGCTCAAGAATAACCTTAAGAAATATTTTTTCTCTCTCTCTCTAATGACATTTAAAGAAATGAGGCTTTCTAGACAACAGGCTCCACAGCCACGTGAGCACAGTGTCTACACAGGTGGCTACTGCCCAGCCCTCAGTGGTCTCCTTAGAAACCAGCCTCTCTGCATAGTGAGTCACAGGCGGCAGGAGGAGCTGGGCAGTGAGTCATGTCAGGAAACAGCACGCTCTGTGTGCAAGCAGATGCCGGTTTATTTCACTGATTCATTTCCACCTACTTCCTCCTACCTCTGTCTGCACTCTAAAACGAACAGAAAGTTCATTCATTTCGCCTCTCGCCTATGGTGCTGCATGCTCCCTCTATTTCTCCGAATGCTCACCATAGGCCCCACCATAATGCTGGAGACCAAACAGATCAAGCCACCCCTGTTCTCTGCGATGGGACACTCTAAGAAGGAGGTGTCGCCCACATTGTCCTCCCTGGTTTTCAAGTTAATTGCCATGATGAACTTCAGACTCAGAGTCATTTTCTCACAAGCCCCCACCCTTCTCTGTCCTCTGAGCATTTTGTCAACAGTGGACAACTGCTGTGATTCTTAACACTTTTAAAAAAATGTGATCGCATGTAGTCAAGCTTCCCTGCTTTGGAAGGGAAGGGGAAATTAGAGGGCGACCCTGTTAAGAGGGAGAGGCTGAAAAGAGAAAAAATAGGGAGTTCAATTCAGCTCTAGACGCTATGGAGGATCAATAAATATCGACAGGCAAGAGAGCAGGAGGAAGGAGAGAGGTTTTGCCAACCTCAGCCGTTACCTGTTAATGATACCAAACAGCAATTTGTCATCGGCCTGGCCACGCTGGCCTTCCATCCCCGAGGAATATCCAGGGGCCCCTCCCAGCAGCTCCTGGAGAAAGAGCTTAGGGTTCTGAGTTCCGGGGAGAGGATATGCTGTAGGTAGGATCAGAGTACACGAGATCCTGACAATCAAACCTGCTTTACATTTTTCTCAAGTGCAGACGTGGTGTTTGGAAACAGAGCAACCTCCAGTCATCTTGCTTGGCTCTTTGGGGCTGTGGTCATACACACATCTTTCCAAACTTCACAAGTCCATGCAAGCACACTGACCTGGCAGATTATCTGAATTCCTGTTCTGGTTTACAAGTCTTTCTAAGACATTTACACCAGAGCTAGAAGAAAGAGACAGGATTTTGGAAATTGCTCACAGGTTTGAGAGAGGATTACTAGAACACAAGAGCCCTCAGAGGTCGTCTACCTTTTCTTCTAAATTGCCCAGTAGATCCTTTCACACCTTGAGGAAGAGATTAGAGAAAGATAAATCAGAGCGTTATAACCCTGTGCTGAGTCACAGCTCTGAGGTTCTTTTATATTGCTGGAGGCAGCTTTCAAAATCCCCTGTTTGCGTGTGGCTAGAATAAGGATTTGTCCCTGAGTCTCAGGACACATCCTGGTCATTTCTAGCCCTTTAACCTATGATTCTAAATCAGATGAAATTTCTCTCCAGATGTTGGGGAAAATACTCTCTATATTGTAAGGCTTTTTCCCCCCCTATTTTAAAACATTTCTGTACCTGGTATATCAGCAAGTCAAAGACGCAAATATTAATTGTCCTTGCCCTGATTGTATGTGAGTCACAGGACTAAGCTCTGTGGGAAAAGAAACACATTTTCTAAGACGCAGGTCTTACTTCCAGGTAGTTGGTCCCAAGCTAATAGGTACCATTTACTGCAGTCTGCTGTGAACCAGCCATTTCACATTCATTATCTTATTTAATCATTTAAATAAATAAATCATGTATATGTGATTTATGCTATCTTACTGGATTAAGAAATCATAGTCAATGCCTCTGGTTCTGTTGAAATATAGTCATGCAGGTAAACATATTTAATCCCATATTTAAAAATTAACGAATTAAAATAAATGCAAATTAAAATATAAGAATGTGAGTAGCTTGCAATGTAACAGGGCCAGTTTCTTCTTCATTTTATAGCTGTAGAAACTAAAGTTCAGAAAACTTAAGTAAAAATGGCAGAATCACAATTAGAACTGAGGCTTTGAGTCCAAATCTGAGTGTTTTCCTTTATACCACATTGCTTCCCTGTTCTAGTTTTAGAAACAACATAAATTCTTGAGAAGTTAAATAAAAATACAAGATTTAATGTTATATCAAGTTAATTCAGGACATGCTACAAGACAGTAGAAAATAAATTGCCAAATGTGCAAGTAACATGATGCAGTTCCTACTGAGAGGAAGCCTGGCAAGTCTGAACTAGGCCTTGAAGGAAAGGTAAAATTTGGATACCTTGAATGCAGTGGTGGAGGTCAGTATTTTTCAAGTTTCCCTTTCTTTTTTTTTTAATAGTATTTGATATCTTTTATGCAGTGCAAAGTATCTATGGATGGAATGAGATGTCTGGGGTTTGCTTATTTTATTCAAGCAAAAGTAAGTAAATCAGTACATTGGGGGGATAGATTAAGCAATATTGGCAAAATGCTATTAGAGGTTTATGATAACTTCAACTGTGCAAATTATTTGCTACATGAGAGTTCAATGCTCTATCTTCTCTTCTTTTGTAAATGATTGAAAAGTTCCATACTAAAACCTTCTCAAAGAAAGTGTAATTGCTGCAGAAGTGTTTGCACAACTGAGGAAGCTCATCTCTAAGAACCATAAGAAACCCACCTTGACTTTTTCAACAGGTAAGTCCACTTAAAGATGATAACCAACAGCAACAGGAAAAGAGGAATGTCCTCAAAAAATAGTCTAAAATGTAATGACAACATTGTGATTTAAATGAAGATAAACCTAAAAAGGAAGACAGATCTCAGATACCAAAAGTTGATTCCATGACTCAAAAGTGTACTTAATAATTGGGAGGCAGAGGCAGGTGATATTGACTCAAACACTGTTCTCAATTATTTCTTGAGTTAGCTGGTTCTCCTCCTCTGTTACTCTACTCCTGTGTCAAGCAAGTAACTTTTCTTATTTCATCACTGCATTTTGACTCTAATCTGAGAACATAATCCTTATTTCAGTTTTAATAAAACTATATTTTTATTTCCATTCATAACAAAGCATTGCACAGCGTCATAATTACTGTGAATTCCTTGCTGACTTTATTTCTCTTTAATTGGAAATTTCAACGGATTTAACTTATTGTTCGTGTCTTGGTTATATCCACACACAATCAAATACATATTTAACCTCTCCTGGAACATAGCTAACAAAGGGACTTGTTTCAGAATTGGCCTGTGGAGGGAATTTTTCAATTAGGTCATTATCCCAACATTTTATAAGCAGAATCTGTGAAAATTCATGGGCCAGATTTTATCAGCTCATGAGTGTAATGAGAAAGGCACTAAAATATTTCAATTAATTGATAGATTAACATACACTTGGGTACAAAAAACTGCACCAGGGCATTTAGGATTTCACAATAGCTCATTATTTTGACATGACACTCTGTGCCTATAAACTACAAATGGGTTAGGAAGATAACTCATTTTGTCTAATTTAGTCTCTGAATTAGGGGGTTTCTTGGGCTTACTTACCTGGAAAAAAAAAAAAAAAAAAAAAAACAGAATCTCTCCCAAGTCACCTTAAGGGACAGGGCTTACATACAGGGCTGTATGTTTTTTAAAAGCTAAAATGGTGTCAGATCTGGGCCTGGCCTTTTCCTCACAGCATCAAAGTCCTCTCTGTGAATCTTTTGCAAGTGCCTCTCTCTACCAAAGGCATTTTTCTAGCCATGCTGTCAGTATCAAGATACAAAACGAATACTGGCTGTTTCTTTTTAAGCATATCCGGAATGCCCATCAATAGTCTAAGTATTTTACACAAATTAATTTACTTGATCCTTACAACAACTGCTGCTGAACTTTGACTTGCATGTAAATTGGTCTCATCTTGATCCAGATATAAACATATAACATAATTTTATCTTTGGTTTCACTAGTAACTCATCCAGCCTCTCCATTTCCAACTTCAAATTACAGAAAGCAAAGATCTGATTGTACCAGCTTATTTCTTGGGCCATGATGCACAAAGTCATCCTGAAGTTTAGCTTCCCTTTTACCCGCTACAAAGCACTGCAGCATTTAGCTACGAACTGCAGGCAGTTCACTTCGTTCAGAACGTGGGAGCAAAGGCAGCTATCCCTGTGAGTGGGGTGGAATTCCTGATAAGGACTTGTAGGAGGGATAGGTCCTATTGACATCACTAGGGTCAGGGGAAGAAGCAGGATTTCACACACCTGCAAAATTGACCTATGATCTGGGGAGCCTTCTCCTGGCCATTCACATGTGAATGATGTGTGTTGGGACCTGCTCAAATTCGGGCTAAGAGATGCATGAATATAGTAACTGAGCAGCCCTCAGAATCTGTATCAGAGCCTGGCTATGATGTACGGAGATCAAGGACTTACTTATATAGTGGGTTAGAGGGATCTCAAAAGATTCATTTCTTTCCAAATTTGTCTCCCACTGGCTGTAAGTATGTCTTACATCTACCATTAAAAGAGTTCCTTTGGGTTAAAGGAGATGATAAGGAGGTTCCCTGCTTGCCTCTGTGCTCGCCATTCCACCCTTCTCATCCTGCTTCGCAGCTGCATGGCATCCTCCTAGCTCCTCCCACCTGTTCTGTTCCTTTTCATCTGGTCAAAATGGAGAGGGCTCCATTCTTAAAACCCTCTGATACTTGACTAATTCGTACCTGCTCTTCAGGTTTCAGAAGATATGAACTCCAAAATCTGGCTCCACTAGTCACATACCCTGGCCAATGTCCCTTCTCAAAGCTCTTATCTATCCACTGGGTACTTCTTGTTTCATGTGTAGCCTTGACTTCAGACTGTCCTGTGAGTCAGAACAATTGATGATAAACCTGGTTACGACAACATAATCAAACCCAACGCAGTGCCTGGTACCTGTTAAGTGCCAATATATATTTGTCAAAATGAATGAAAATAAAAGTGTTATTTGTAAGTGGAAGCACATTAATTGTTGTTAAGCTACAGACACAATTTACTTCATAGATTCCCTAGAACGGTGGAGGGCATGGTCCATAAGTCAAATGCATTTGGGTATTACCTAGAAAAACTAAAATCAGAGAAGATAAGACCTAGGGATAAACACTGTGGGTTGGTATGCTGTGGAGAAAGAGGGCATCCCGAAAGGTGAAGGTTGAACATCAAACAGTGTTGCCCACATCTAAGTTAGTCCCAGTTCACACAGGCTTTATTCTGGACCTGGTATGACTATCGTAGCAAGGCCCCGTTGACCTGTTGGTTCTGTTGGTGAAAGATCACATAAAGGAGTCTGGATGGGGACCACAGAACCAGAAATGAGACCTATTCTACCCGCCAAGTCTATAAAAGGGGTGAGTAAAAATTCTTAGTAAGTAGACTCCCATTTCCATATTTGAAGTAGGTAATTCAGCTCTAGAAATGGACACTAACTACTTGGGAATCGGTTAGTTCTTATGAACCTTTTCTCTGGTGAGGAAGTTTATATTTATTAACCAAATAAAACAGAAAAGAATATTCTTCAGAGGAATAGTTGGGAATGACCGCAAGGAGATTCAGTTTTTCATAAGACACAGTAGATTCTGAAACACAGAGGAATGCTTGATGCTTGATAAGGACTCGTTGGTCTTAAACTCAGTTTTACATTCATGTTTTACAGGGCTTTTCCGAGCTAAAAGTAATGGCCTAAACACTTAAGGTCTGGCCTGTGTTGATGATTGAGCTTCTTTCCTATTTGTCTCAACAAGAGACTATTTTTGATTCACCCAGTCTTACAATTACATTCTGGAGTCATATTTGAGAATGTATAATATCATAACCACCATTCACAAATTGGATGCTATATCTCAGTCCTTTTAAAAATGTTTTTATTAATAATGTTCTTGAAAAATATAATCAGGTGAAAAGAGAAATGGAATAGATGTGGAAAAGAAACAAGACAGAGGAAAAAATGAAGGAGGAGGAAGAAAAAGAGGAGATAAATCTCTCTGCCTTCCCTCTCTCCGCCCTAGGCGAGAGGGTTTATAGTCCCATTCTGGTTTTCAACAGGGACTTTTACATCTCTTGGAGAGAGCATCTTCTACCCTAAATCCTACAAATATAAGACTTGAAGAGTGAAATAAAAAGAATTTAACTAGACTAAAAATATAAATTCCCCAATTTAAAGTTAAAATGGGAAAATATGTATTTCAAGTACCACCTCACTAACTGACTTTTAAAATATAATTTTGTTATTTTTTTTTTACCTCGGTTTATTGATGGACTAGAGAGGAAAGATAACTATAATTTTAGAGAACAGAATTTTTTAAATCACATCTACATTTTAGAATGTTGGAGAAAACATTAGAGAAAAAATGCTGAGAGAGGGCCAGGCATGGTGGCTTATGCCTGTAATAAAACTTTCAGTTTGTAAAACTGAAGTGAGTGAATTACCTGAGGTCAGGGGTTCAAGACCAGCCTGACCAACACGGAGAAACCTTGTTTCTACAAAATTGGCTGGGTGTGGTGGCACATGCCTGTAAACCCAGCTAGTTGGGAAGCTGAGGCAGGAGAATCTCTTGAACTTAGAAGGTGGAGGCTGCAGTGAGCTGAGATCACGCCATTGCACTCCAGCATGGGGGCAACAAGAGCAAAAATCCATCTCAAAAAAAAAAAAAAAAGCTGAGAGAAAGACAAATCAATAAAGAAAATGACTTAGCTAGGGAAAAAGTCTTCATAAAAAAAGGAGTTGAAATCCAGTTACTAGGAAATATCTTTACAGGTATTAGAGGATGGTGTCCTTTGAGTCCACCTTTTGGCAGGCATGACTAAAGCACCTGAGAACTAGAATTTGTGTGCTTTTGTTCATGCTGTCTCTTGTAAAAGATATTTAGATAAGGTGCCATAAGTATTCCCTGAACTGTGTTCACTGAGAAACAAGTAATTCAAGGGACTTACAGCCCTCCACCGTCTCTTTAGAACTAACAGGCAGGCTCTGAAAAAGAGAGAGGAAAGAGATTGACTTCAATAATGGATTCTGAGAATAGCTGAACAGCGTGGGTCTGTTGGCAGCTCCCCCACTCCCTGGTAGACTGCTTCTGAAAAGGACAAGGGAAGAAAGTGTCAGAAATTGTTTTTTAGACCACCAAGGGGTGTGGAATTGGATACAGCTCATGAAGAACTGCCTTTCACTCCAAAGTATATTACTATGCAGCCTCGACTCCACTGGAGAAAGAAATTGCATATAAAGATGTATGCTAGTGATCAGACTTCAGGTACTAAGTCACGCCGTGACTGTTGGATCACCTGGGAAACTAAGACCTGGACAGGAGACTGGGCAGAGAAAATGAAAGGAAAAGAGTTGTTTCATTTTACCTGGAAGTTATCTTTTATCTACCGTTGTTACGTTTTACCTCCTTTGATGCCATTTTCCCTTTAGAAATTAAGAACATCTTTTATTGGAGTCAGACAAAGTTGGACAAGTCTTCCCAATTACAGAGTATGTGACTATGGGTAAATTACTTAGCCTCTCAGTGACTCGGTTGAAAATGGAAATACCAATGTTATCTGCTTCTCAGGGCTGCTATAAAGATTAAATGAGATAATGCCCAAGACACGAATAACCTTGGATGTGGCTTTGTTTAAGCCCTGCGGAGACGTTGGCACTGCCGCTGTGGTTGCTGCTGCTCTGGATCCAAGGGCCCTTCATTTTGTGCTTAAGGATGGGAGAGAAGGAGTAGGCGCACAGTGGGTGGTCAGCACCAGAAGCCGACTAGGGTGACTAGGGTGCGTCTGTAATAAAAAGAAAAACAAGCAGTGAATTAAAGAAAGAAGATTAACATGAACATTGTTTACAAAGGCCATAAAACCAACAGAGATGAACAACAACAGCAGCAACAAGAAACTCTGGAAAATACTGATCAGGTTCTGCAAAAGTAAATAAAAATCGTGTCAGTCAGCTAGCCACTAATTCTAACTAGTCATATCCCCCAGTGCAGGACAGAAATGGTTCTGCATATCATTAATACATAACGGATTCATTTTGCTGTAAGTTTAATTTGATTGCTTCACTAAAGTCTGTTATTAATACTCAGCCTTCTGCTGCTCGTGTAGCATGGCCACCTGTTCATGAATTTGAGAAATAAAAGGATGTATTTGCTCAATATCCACCCAGTGGAAAGGGACGGGATGTGTCCTACAGCTGAGACGAGAACGGGCCACTGTGGAGGGTGAAAGGGAGAAGGCACCGTGGGCGCTGGCCTGGGACAGAGATGCTAATGACAACGGAGCTGCTTCCCACCAATCTAAAGTGGGGAGTGATCCCCTCATTTGCATTTCACAGGGTCCAGTCAGAAAACAAAATCTTCTCCAAATCCTTCAACAAACAGAATTGAATAAAAGAAATGGTTTACAAAGGTGATGAGGAGTTGAGATGGCAAACAGGAGACTGTAATAAAACTTGGAATAGCAGCATCCAGTCACCACTGCGAACCTAAGGGTGGAGTGGCAAGAGGATGGGGTAGCCTTCATTCCCAGAGTCCAAGAGCAGGAAACAGAACCACAGGAGAGGTGGCACGTGGTAGGTGTTAGAACCTTAGAGGGAAGTACCGCTGGCCAGTGTTGGAGCCGTAAAGATGCAGCTGCTGCCTGCTCTGCAGATGCCTCCAAAGCTGAGCAAGATGGAAAAACCTCCCCTATTTTCCCCTCTTCCAGCCATCCAGCCTTCTGCCAATGCCTCCCATTGGCCAAAATTACTGGAAAGTCAGTCTTCAGGGAGCCTAGGAAAACTGGTTTCCTAGAATACAAGACAAAACCAGGGAAAGGAACAGAATGGAGCTGATGAGAGCAAACAGGCCAGCACATCATGTTTGATTGAAACACATGGTGAAAACTAAGATGGGGATGGAGGTGAGTTAAGCTGAACACCCTACCCAGGAAGGCCACGAGAGGGTAGAAACAGCCAAGTCACACCCAGACGCCTCAGTCCAGGCAAGTCATGGAAGTCCGCACTTGTCGAAGATAAGGGGCTCTGGGCTAAGGAGACTTTATCTCTCCGCTGACTGTCCTCTGTTGTCTCCTCTCTGAAAACAACTGTGTGTTAATTGATGGTTAGCAGAATTGAAATAGATAATAACATATTAATACAATGCAATCTAATTTGCTTAAATCAGCGGCCCTTGGTTCTAAATGATCCATTCAAAGCTTTTCCTCATCATCTTGAATAATTGAAAGTTATGCCTCATGGTGTTCAGAATAATTAACTTCTTAGATTTCTGACTTTACAAGTAATACAGCTTTGTAACAAGAACATGTTAAATTTGGATAGATCTTTACAGCTATGGCACACGGTCACGGGCATTATCCCATTTTGCTTTATATGCTGAGGGTCTGAAGTGAAGGAGAGAGAACTAACATTTGTTGAATATTGATGATGTGCCAAGCATTGTGTCAAGAACTTTCCAAGGATTAATTCAATTAATTGTCACAACACCCCAATGAGAGTGATATTATTATTCCCATCTTCACAGATGAGACAACTTACTTGGAGGGAACTATTCTGTTTAAGATCACACAGCCAAGTCTGGGACCGTTTCATAGAAAAAGACTTACACCCACACACACCCCTATCACATACACATAATCTGGTTATATATATGATATGTATTATCTTATAAATTTTATATATAATCTATAATTATATAAATTATATTTTATATAATTTATATGATTTTTATATAAATTTTATATCTTGTGTGTATATATTTATATGTAAACTTAATAACTTTTGCGATTTTTACAAAAGCCTAGCTGTATAATTCAGTTATTTAGAAAACCTTAATATTTAAACCATTTCCTTGATGTTATATGTGATGCTTAGGTATCAGAGAGGAAAACAAAAAGGGCCTCAGGACCACTGAATGGCTCTGGTTTTGTATATACAAAGTTGATTCTCTTTAAGCTTCATTTACCTTCTGTAAAATGAGAATAATATATATTCAGTTGAAACGTACAGCACTAGTATATATAAAACACATAATAAAAGTGCCTACTCCATAGAAAGTTAGACAAAAGCTGTCATTGTGCTTACAGTATTTCATTGCACAACAAACGCTGCACCCATTACTGCACTAGGTGAGATTTTGCCTTGCACTTCATTAGTGACATATGCTGAAGTGTGTGCCTTTGACAGGTGTTTAGCACTACAGGTATTTCTTAGTGCTCAGAAACATCCTGCTCAGTGTTTCCATTTCTGTTTAGCAGAATGTAGTTCAAGAAAAAGTTCTCATTAGGATCCTTTTCTAATGTCAGAGAGTGGGCACACTGTAAGTGTATAGACCCTGCCTAATTTAAGAGAACTGTGTTATATTTGGATAAAAATTATAATTATATGGGTGATAATAGTGAAAGCACAATAACAAGTCAGTTTGCAGAGTCCCAGCCCCAGCATTGCAAGGCAGAATATTGAGGAACGGCCCATCGACACCACCTCGATCACTGGCACGCACTGAATTATAATCTTACTGTAAGCCTGATAATACAGATTTATATTCTGGGTATATAGCCAAAAGAATCGAAGGCCAGGTCTTAAAGAGAAATTTGCACATCCGTGTTATTAACAATAGGCAAAAGGTGGAAGCAACTCAAGTGTCTATCAGCAGATGAAAGGATAAGCAAAACATGGTTTACAGTGGAATATTATTCACCCGTGAAAAAGAAAGAAGATTGTGGCACATGCTATAACGTAAATGAGCCTTAATGACATCATGTTAAGTGAAATAAGCTATGCGTGAAAGGGCAAATATTGTTTGATTTTACTTATCTGAGGTACCTAGAATAGCCAAATTCACAGAGAAAAAAGGAAAATGGGAGAGCTACTATTTAATAGGTACAGAGTTTCAGTTTTGCAAAATGAAAAATGTTCTGGAGACAGTGATGATGTTAGCACAATGTGAATGTACTTAATGCTACTGAAATTTATACTTGAAAATGGTTAAGATAATAAATTTTACATTATGTGTATTTTACAACTTAAATTTTTGAAAAAGAAGACACACACACACACAAAATAGTAAGACAACGTATTTTATCCAGTCTATAATCTTTGGGAGGCCGAGGTGGGTGGATCACCTAAAGTCAGCAGTTCGAGACCAGCCTCACCAATATGGTGAAACCCTGTATCTACTAAAAATACAAAAATCAGCTGGGTGTGGTGGCATGCACCTGTAGTCCCAGCTACTCAGGAGGCTGAGACAGGAGAAGCTCTGGAACCCAGGAGGTGGAGGTTGCAGTGAGCAGAGACTGCACCGCTAACACTCCAGCCTGGGTGACAGAGCAAGACTCCGTCTCAAAAAAAAAACCAAAAAACAAAAAACAAGTATTATTTTTTATAGTTACAAAATACCATATGAACCTCTGAAGGCATTTACAATCTGGTGATGGAAGGCACTATATAAATAAATTGATTACAAATTATATTATAATAACCTATGCAATGTTTCATTCTATTTTCTTCCCTATGGTAAATAATTTGTTAGCAGTTTACATATCCTGAGAGGTCAGTTTCAAATGCTGCCTCCTGCCCTGCTCAGCAGTCAGAAAGCTACTCCCTTCTGAGCCCAATTACAGGCTACGCTCACTTGGGATTTTCAGCATATTTGGCTGTATGTTATGCTCACTAAATTTGAAGCTAAAAGGTAAGGTCTACATTTTATCTCTCTGTGTCTCATGGTACCTAGCACAAGATAAGTACTCAAAAATATTATTGACAAAAGCTGTAATATCATCAAAATACATAAATCCCAAATTTTGGAATTTGGGGTGCAAAGAGGGTGAGGAACTCTCCGGACCCCCTAGAGCTAAGGGTTTCCTGGGATGTTCTGGGATGCAGGATTTCAACTGAAAAAAGGAGACATACTGGGCAAACCAAGACAAGCAGATATCCTGCGTGTAAAATGTAGTATCCTAAAACAAGGTGGGCACTTCAGCTTACAACTCCACTATATACCCCTGACAAAATACACTTCTCAAAAACAACATAGACATGAACACCAGACTAAAATAACAAGAAACAATTATACATAAGCCTTAGTCCTTCTAATCAGAGCTCTATTTCTGCTATAGTCACAGTTTCTGCTCTTAAACTCACAAATGCTACATAAAAAACAGTTTGATAATTTCCCTTTCAATATAATTATGAAATCAATTCTTTTTCCGTTTTGGAGAGAAAGAAATAAATCCATAACAAAGATGCTAATTAAATATTCCTACATCTCACATTAGAGTCAGGGCAGGCATTAAGAGTACCGAATGTTCCAATTAAAACCAGGAAGCATTTGCCGTACAATAGCCAGTTCCAGTCCCTCGGGCATCAGTACAAAATTAAAACTGGATGCTGGGAGCCTGAGTGCTTTCATCTAAGAGCATGTGCCATAAGACATCAAATCATGCTCATAACATGCTGATCTCATTTCATCCTCCAGCAAAGGGTTGTCAAGAGATGCTAATGACCACTTTATCCTCCTCTTGGACTTACTCTGTGGTAAACTATCTGTGCCATCTCAGAAGGCCAGCATGACCACCACTGCTCTGCTCTGTGACACCTAATAAGTCAGGAGCAAAAACATCAGGGGCTTATTGATCATTCACTTGTTCATTCAAATGCACATATGTTGGGCACCTAACTAAGGATGTCCATGGTTCTGCTAATGGCTGTGAACCCAAAGAGGAATAAGACTATTTCCAAGCGTTTTACAAACCAATGGGGAAATAAAGTACTATCAGAGTAAAAGGGGGCAATTACTTTTTCTGGGAAGGTCAAGGGAAACATCACGAAGGAGGTGATGTTTGTGTTGGGTCCTGAGGAATCCAAAAGTGGCAAGTGGAAGAATGGAAAGGAAGGAGAGGCGCCTCCTCTAGAAAAGGGTGTAGGATATTCCCTGTGTACAATTTCCTGGACCTGTTGTAACAAAGCACCTCCAGCCAGGAAGCTTGTACAACTAGTCATTGTCTCACAGTTCTGGAGGCTAGAGTCTGAGATCAATGTGTCATCAGGGTTGGCTTGTTCTCAGGGTTATGACTCAGAATCTGTTCCATGCTTCTCTCCTAGCTCTAGGAGTTTGCTGGCAATCTTTGGCATTGGCTCTGTAAAAGGAAAGTATCTTGGAACCTTTCAAGCTGGGAACACTCAGGGCAAATCTGGCTCCCATTCTGTTCAAGTCATCCCTTGAACTCACAGACATAGATGCATATTCTGACTTCCTTCTTTGAAAAGGCTTATCCAAAATTCAAAAGAATCCAACCATCTGTCTGTCACCTGTATGTAACCTGGAAGCCCCTAGTCGGGCTCCCTGCTTTGAGCTCTCTCTGCCTTTCTGGAATTTTTGGGGTTCACAGATTTTAGCTGCATCACTCTCATATCTGCCTTCATCTCTACATGGCATTCTTCCTGTGTGCACATCTATATCCTAATTTCTCCTTTTTCTAAGGACATCAGTCATATCCAATTAAGGGCCCATCCTACTGAAATAAGACCTCATCTTAATGTAACTGATTACATCTGAAATGACCCTGTTTTCAAATAAGGTCACATTCCGAAGTGCTGTGGAGTAGGACTTTAACATATGAATTTGGAGGGGGGACATAGTTCAATCCATAAAACCCTGGAGAGCAGTCAGACAAATTAGCACATGGGGAAGGGGACATTTTTAAGGCGGCAGCATATATAATTTTTTTTTAATGGTAGGAAAGAAAGATGAAGGCTAGGCTCAGGGGTAAAGAAAGTTGAAATATATGCTCAGATCTTCTGGGAAACATTGGTGATTGGTGATAGGATGAAAAGATTTGTGACTATAAATTAAGGAAAATGCTGCATTAAACAAACTTTAATAGGTTTCTTTATAATATAGCTTCTCAGAGTCTGTAATATGGCAATGTTCTTTATAAATCTAGAAAGGTAAGAGAGCGTATGCAATGCTTATGAAACTTACGTCACTACAGAGAGTTTTTTCCAGTTACTTCCCACTGAAAACTGATATGGACATAGTCTCTGCATACACTTTCCACCTGGCTTCTTTTACATCTCTGAGTTCCAATTCCCTTATTGGTAGAGCTGGATAATCATAGCTTTTCATAAGGTCAGTCCTTGTGAAGTGAAGAAAATGCATATGGAGGTGATTACTAAAAGGTAAATTACTATGCACACAAGAATCCTTGGAAGCCTCTTGAGCAGTGACTAGGAGTTTGTAAATTTATTTGAAATCAGGTAAGAAAGCAGAGTAATCATTTGGGGAAATAGAGGCCCCAGGGAAGTAGAAATTCTTGTCGTCATCCAGTCAGCATCAAAAGCCTGATGGAAGTGTCCCTTGCTTGGGTTACTCATGCCTTTCCTACCCATTCTCCCTATTCGTGCTTCATTTACTCATTCAATTCATATTTACTAAGCCATTACTATGTCCTGGGGTCATTGCTCAGCATTTTTCAGGATGTGCTTTCTCCAGGTCCAGGTAGTCTCCATAAATTACTTGATTTCAGTCTCTGCTCCCTTTCCTGTTATCAGCTTGGCACATATCGTCTGGATCACATGATTTGACATTTGTGTATGTATCGGCTCAAACCATTATCTCATTGCTT